TCCTCAGACAGCCCGGGCCCCCGTGTCTGCGCCCCACTCGAGACCCCACTTTGGAATGTCTTCCCCCGTCCGAGCTGCTGATTCAGGGGCCTTTCTACCCCTGAAAACCGTTCATCACCTGCGTCACCCGCACCCCAAATACAGGGCGTGATTCCTTTGCTTGTGTGCCTGGTCCCCCTGCTACGATAAAGATGCTTTTCCTGCTGTGGGGCTTCATCCTTTTTTAAAGTTTATTCTGATCGTAATGTAAAGTTTTTAAAAATATGTTTATCGATTTTAGAGGAAGAGGAAGGGGAACAGAGAGAGAGAGAGAGGGGGAGAGAGAGAGGGAAACATTGATCGCTTACCTCCAATACACACAGCCTGACCTGGGATCAACCCCCGCCGTGTAGGCAGGTGCCCTGACCAGGAATCGAACCCACAACCTTTTGGTGTCCAGCATGATGCTCCAGTCAGCTGAGCCCCACCGGCCAGGCCTCTGAGGCTTCTTCCCTGGTTATCTTTCACATCCATTCGATAAAGTAGGAAAACTTGGTCCCAAAAAGCCTTTCGCCAGCTGTCTTATTTTCTCCCTCCCCGGCTGTTTGCAGAGAAGGATAAGGTGTTCTGCACATTGGGGGCCATTGCCCTCTGACTGGGGCCAGAACTTTTCTGCTTCGATGCTGGTGAATGGATGCTGGTGAATGGCTGCAACCTGGTGAATGGCTGCAACCGGCCTCTTTGGGTCCGAGTGTGCACAGCGTGGTCCCCTGGGCGCGGCGGCGGCGGCGTGGGTGCATGATGCTTCTGCATTCTGTCTGCCTTTTTGCAGAGGGCGTTTTTGGAGCCAGCCAGTGACCCCGAGAATAGAGCCTGAGGCTGTTGTGTGGGCCAGGGTCAAGGCCAAGTGCCGGCTTGCCTTCGTGATGCACGGGCGGTGGGTGACCAAGTCACCATTGCTGTCCGCCACGCGCGCTACCAAGTCCCAGCTGGCAGCGCCCTCGGGCTGTGAAGCGCGTGCCAAGTGTGGCTTTGTTTCTCACCAAGTTCAAGTGTGGTCGGTTCCACCTCCCGCGAGACATGGGGCGGGGCGCACGGGATAGAAGGGAGGTTTCCGAGGCTGCTTTTTCTTTCCCTGAACGTTCTCTGCGGAGCACAAGGAAGGCTGGAGGGAGACTGGGTCTTGGCAAGGAAGCCACAGGGAGGAACACAAGAGCGGCTTCCTCCCCCACACCCAGGCCTCTTTTCCTGCGAAGGGCGCAGGCTGTGGGAAGGGAGAGGGTCTCTGGGGAGCCTGGTCCCCGCTCGGAGAAGGGGAGCTTCAGCAGACTTGGCGGGAGAGGACACCCGAGGGCCTTATCCTTCCAGAGTTTGTGCTTCCGGAGAACTCGTTTGTAGACGGGTGTGTGGGGGTGAGGCTGGACCATAACTCAGTCAGCACAGGCGATGATGGGTCACCTCCAAACCGTGCTGTCTCCACACGCAGCCCTGCCCGTCATTAGTGGTTGCACCTGACGATTCTCTGATCGCGGTTCCTGTGGCTCAGTGGGTTTGGTGTGTCATCCCTGTAGAATGAAAGTTCACGGGTTCAGTTCCCAGTCAGGGTAGGTGCCCGAGTCGTAGGTTCGATCCCCGGTTGGGGCATGTTTGAGAGGCAGCTGATGGATGTTTTTCTCTTCCCCCCCTTCTTCTCTCCCTAAAATACAATGAAAAAATATCCTCGAGTGAGGATTAAAGAAAGAAAAATCCAATTTTCTCAGAGTACTCAAATAGCAAGGTATTATTTGCTCACTCTTTTTTTTAATGTATTTCTCACAGTATTTCGAAGCATTTGTTTATTCTTAGAGCAAGGGGAAGGGAGGGAGAAAGAGAGGAAGAGAAGCATCCGTGTGCGTTTGCCTCTCATGCGCCCCCTACTGGAGACCTGGCCCACAACCCAGGCCTGTGCCCTGACTGGGAATCGAACCGGTGACCCTTTGCTTCACAGGCCCACACTCAATCCACTGAGCCACAGCCGCCAGGTCTAAATTGTAGGTTTCCTTTTGGTCACGAGGAACCCTCTTCTGGGAGACAGGAGTGACTCTTCATTCGGAACGTGGCCAGTCACAGACTGTCTCCACTGAAAACCGTAAGCAGCTGATCTGTTCCGCCTCCCCCAAGCTCGGCACTGAAAGCCTGTGCCGTGTGACTCTTTAAAAAGGGCCCCGCTGGCTGTCACCAGCAGCATCTGCGTCACAGGGCAGCTGTGCCACCTGCCGTAAGTATGAGAAGAGGAGGAGGAATTGGAGGGAAGTGGCCGTGGGACGTGCACAGATGGGAGAGGCTGGTGTGGGCTTGCAGCCACGTGAGGTTCCCAAAGGTCAACACAGCAGGTGTCGGAAGAAAAGACCTGTCTCCGGAGTCAGGGGGCGGTGCTGGCCTTGGACTTCCTGGGCCGCTGCAGCTGCGGACAGCTGAAGCGTGTCACTGGTCTCCTGGGACGGCGTGTTACCACTGGAAGGCTCTTCTACTCTGCCCTCGGCGGTTCTGTCGGGGCACAGAATCGGGCCAAGGCCGCCGCGGGCACAGCCGGCCCAGGTGTGTGTGCACGCGGCCCCTTCACACCTGGCAGTGGCGTGTCCGTGCGTCCCACCCCGTCCCCAGCCTCCTCAGTTGCAGCACGAGCCCTCCCGCTGTGCAGAATCCTGCCGGGGCCCCTGTGCCCAGGGGACACCGGTGCCTGTCCGTTTGGATGCCTTCACCTGTACCGTTGCTCTTGGCGTGCACCTGTCTGTCATGCGTTTTGCTGTCTCCAAAGTTGACATGCCTTCAAGGCCACAGCCAGTGGCAGTGTTTCTTGAGCGGCTGCCCTGGAAGGAGGGCTCACGTAGGTCCCAGCCGTCCAGTGCTCCCTGGGAAGGGCGTGTCCCTGTCTCCGACCCCGATGCTCCTGGGAGCTCGGGGGGGGGGGGGGGGGGGGGGGGGGAGATCCGGATGTGCCAGGGTTCAGGCCCCACCCACAGGTTCCAGGCCGGAACCTGCATGTTCAGGGACCCCTGGGGCATTTGCCTGCACTTTGTAGTTGGAGAAATACCGGTCCACCTGCCGCTGTGTGTCTTCCAGGTACAAACTGTTTCTTTTCAAGACCCGCCCCTCCTCATCTCCTGCACTTTTGGCCGGCCCCTCCCCCACCAGAGCTCTCAGTGCGGGGAGGTCTTGGAGTCTGTCCTTGCTGGTTTGTGTCCTGTCCAGCTGGCTTGCTTCTGTGACTCTGCCTCTCCAGAGCCTGCTGGGGGTCACTCCATGTGTGGGTCACCTTTCTCTGGGCACCCTCCCCCCACACCCAGCTGCTCACTGCACCCTCCCGGTGGACCGCCCCTTGGCCTCTCCCCTGGGTCATGTTAGACATGTTCCACCCCAGCCTGTGGAACCGGCACCCTGGCTACCGTGGCTGAGGGGTCACCTTGGGTGGGTGGAAATTTATGTGCAATCCGTCTGTTACTGCATGGGGACACAATTGTCTAGGCTTTGGAAACCTGTTGTTCCGTGAACGAACTGCTTCCTGTGTGTGCTGGGGTGGTCTTCAGTTTCATCTGTCCTGTTGGTACTCAGTGAACGGTGGCTTTGTTAACCCAAGGGGTCCGCCCCCCTCGGATCGAGGTGGGGATTTTGAGAGACTGTGAGGTTTCAGAAGCGAGGCATCGCAGTCAGGGGCTTAGTTTCCAGCGCATGAACTCTCAGGAAAACCTATCGCTTCCGCAGCCTGTGCGCACTTGACCTAGCTCCGAGGTTAGCTGTGGTGTCCGGTTCGGGGACTGTGAACTTGGCACATTGCGCGCCGGTGTGCTCCTGACCGTTCGTTTTGTTCACGAGTTTTTCTAGCGCTTTGTAAAGAAACGGCGTTTTGGTGCAAAGCAGGGGTTGGCAAAGTGTTTGCGTAACCAGCCACGTGGTAAATAGTTTTGGCGTTGCGGGCCAGAGTTCTCACTTCTGTCCTGTAGCAGTATGTCAACAGATGGCTCTTGCTGTATTCCAATAAAATTGTATTTAGCGCCCCAAAACAAGAAGGCAGCTGGCTGGATGTGCTCATGGGCCCTTGCTTGCCAAGTAGTAAGTAGTATGGAAAATAGGCTGGGTTCATTGATAGCGAATCGGATTATTACTAGGTTAAGGGTTGAAACACCAAGCTTTCTCAGAATGAGTTAACAGTCGAGCTTCCAGGAAATCCGTGAATACATATTCACATGTATGTGTTTAGCACTGAGTAGGAAATAGATTAAAACACGCAGCCTGGCATGGGGCTCTCATTAGGACCATAGCTGAAGAAAGCAGGTGACTCGAAGGTGCAGGCATGGGGACAGTTGGAACCTGCATACGCTGATGCGGAAGGGAAGGGGAGGCAGGCGCTTGTGTAGGCAGCGTGGCACGTCCGGTAGTTCCCATGTGACCCACCCAGCAGGTCCAGTCCCAGAGAGACACCCAGGGGAAATGAGGCCGCACACACAGAGACTTGGATGCCAGTGCTCAGATAGCCAAAATCCACAAACATCTCCTGTTTCCACCCCCTGACAAGTGGATGAAGAAAATGCCGCCTTCTGTACAAGGGAATGCTGTGCAGCCGTGGAAGGGAATGGGGCCCTGACACCTGCCTGGCGTAGAGGAACCTGGAAAACATCCATGGGGTGGCCTGGTGCAGGAAAGAAGCTGGATACAAAATGCAACATTGTATATAGCTTATTGTATGGGCGAAGCTGCGGCAAAATGCAACATTGTATAGCTTACCGTATGGGTGACGCCCATGACTGGCAAAGCTGTGGAGACAGCGAGCAGAGGAGGGGCTGCAGGGGCCCGGGAGGGTCAGGAAGAGACACTTCCTGGGCCTGCAGCTTCTTGTGGGTTGCTGGCACGTGCCAACATGGATGATGCTGGCGGGTGCCCAGGGCTGTGACTGCATTGCATATTGATACGGTTGAATGGCGTGGTGTTTGAATTAGAGTGTGTGCTGCTTTCGGGGGCTCACTGGCCACGCTTCTTTGTTGCAGATTGAGGAGGGAAGTAAAGCCGCCGCTGTGGACAAGTTACTGGCTGGAGACGAGATCGTGGGCATCAATGACATTGGACTCTCAGGGTTTCGGCAGGAAGCCATTTGCCTGGTGAAGGGGTCCCACAAGACCCTGAAGCTGGTGGTAAAAAGGTAAGGCCCAGCCCTCCCGGCGCGGTTACCAGCACACACTGCACACACGGAGTAGAGCAGCCGCACAAGGTGTCTGCGGCAGTCCCGATGTGGTCTTAAATTGGGGAAGGGTCTGCACCTAGCTGCGTTTCTGCATTCAGGCATGCACGCAAATGAGATTGTTACCTCTTTCCCCAGGATGAATTAAGCATTGCACATGAAAAAAGACTCCTTGTATGACCACGAGCTGTTTCCTTTGATTTCTTAAGTGACGCTGGATAGCTGTATCTTTCTTTGGCAACGCGTGGATTATTTTCTTGGCAGAGACGAAAAAACTGTTCTGTTCCTAATGAAGTGAAGTGTGGTTGCCTGTTGCTTCCACCAGGTGGCAGTGTACTGGGGTGTGGGGTTTTATGGTGAGACTCGGGTGACTGCAGGTAGTGGGAAGGTGGCTTCCAGGTGTCCCCAGAGCTGTGCCCAGGTCTCAGGGAAGGCGGCGGCCGGTTCCTAGAAATTAAACTGTTGGTAGCAATTTGGATGATGTGACGAGGCAAGACAGTGAAATGAAGGACTTGATGGTTTTATCCACAGGAACCACAGCAGTGTCCCTGAATGCCACAAAGGTATTTGTGACTTGTTTTCATATAGAAAAATTTCTCCACCTTGCGTTTTCTAGTTGTCTGATTCCCAGGAAAGCATGCCATTAAAAAAAAAAAATAGCAAGATTAGTGCCATGTTTCCAAAGCCGACTGAAAATTTTAAAAGATAAATGGACTCAAGCACTTCCTTCTGTTTTTTGTAAAATGCAGATTTGAAGACAAATTCCCAACGGACTTTCCTTTAAAAAAAAAAAAGATTTTATTTATCTTTAAAGGGGAAGGGAAGGAGAGAGGGAGAGAAATATCAATGTATGGTTGCCTCTCGTGCGTCCCCTGCTGGGAACTGGCCTGCAACCCAGGCATGTGCCCTGACTAGGAATCGAACCTACAACCCTTTGCTTCACAAGCCCATGCTCAATCCACTGAGCTACACCAGTCAGGCGAGGACTTTCCTTTTATAAAATTTTTGAGGACCAAACTAGCATTTAAGGAGGTGGTTCACAAACACAGAAAGAGAAGCTTTCATTCTTTGCCAAATTACTTCAGCAACCTTATTTCTAAGGGGTGTAGGCTATCCTTCTTGGGAATCAGAAAAATGCAATCTCGGAATGCCCATTCCCGAGCCCTTTGGGGAGGATGGGGCACGGGAGGTGCGGCCGTATCGTGTCATTATTCCTTGGTGGCCGGCTTACGGAGCCCCCTCAGGCGGGCCGTGTGTTCCAACACGGTCCGGGTAGGTGAGGCGCCGTGCTGGTGATGATGCCGAGGTCTCACAGGTCCGGCGACAGTGAGAGGCATCTCTGGGCTGATTTCAGGCCTCTCTTCTTCTGTCTCCCCTTGTGTGTCCCTAGTAAAGCTGCCAGGGCCCCCCAAACTCCGAGCCTGTGGGGGCAGAGTTCTCTGTCCTGCAGGGGAGGTGCTAGCTTGGTGGTTGCTGCAGGCAAACTTGCCTCACCACAGTGCGTGGTGCAGAGGGGTGAAGGAAGGACCGGGGCTTGTTGAATCGGATTGTGCTGGATGCACATCACTGAGCATCTACCTGATGGCGGGGATGCTGAGACCCAGCTGTTTGTTCAGGAACACGTGTCAGTGTGATAGCACCTGGCCCTGGGAGGCAGCAGCAAATAGCACGGGGAGAGCCCTTGACAGTGGGGGACAGTCGGGAGACAAGGCTGTCCTCACCGCCGCGTCCAACCAGGTAAAACAATGTTGGTGGATGGTGGATCTTATTCTACTGTTCAAAAAGCAGCTGTCTAATAACAAAGCTGGCGTATAGTAATAGAGAAAAAGAGTGGGATCGGTTGGTTCCTCCCAGGAGAAAGTTAGATGAAAGACACAAGCTGGCAGTTCCTAAAACGAGAGGTGTAAATAGGAGACAAGCCTGTGGAACCATGTTTAACTGGGAAGGCACGTTTATTTAAAAAGGAGAGACTAGGGTTTTGACTCGCAAGTTCGGTCATAGAGCAGCAGCGCCCCCTGCTGGTGAGAGTGTGGGAAGACAAGGACTTAGTGATGGGAGGTTGATTAGATTACAAATTAATTAGGCAGTTTTCCTGGTGAGCAGTTTGGCAATGCGTTTCCAAAGGCAGAGGGTGGACGCAGAATGCTATTTCTGGCACCGTAGACATGGAGCAGAGGGAGGGTACGGAGCTGAGTTAGGGACATCCACACTTGGAAATGCTGAAAGCTTTGTTAGACACGGAGGCTGCTTGTCCAGCCCAGTTGGGTGGAATGCATGCATGCATTTATTTTTATGTCCTGCGTTTAAAAAAAAGTGCCGCAGTTCGACCACAGGGGGTCAAGGGGTCCCACAGGTGAGGGTAGGCGTCGGCGCTGGGTAACAGACGACAACACGCCTCAAAGGACAGTGAAGCTCTGTTCCGTTTATTGCAAGTACAAGCAGGTTTTTATATTTTCATTTTAGGTAGTGATGAACATTTGCAGTATAGCATGATCATTTAAGCAGAAAAAATCAATACAAAGGTAATCAGTAGAAGTACGAAAGTTCCCATAGATTTAGTTATAATAAACAAAGATTATTTTAACCAGGAGAGCTATTAATCAGACAATTAGAAGTATCTTATTGTAGATTAAAGTTTCTCAGAATTTGTCATAGGGCAAAACGATTCGCTAGATTGAGTAGAGAAAATAGGAAATTTCTTATAAGGCCCTTGTGATGTCTAACTTAGCTATCTATCTTTTTCTGTCTAAAATGTTTCTCTGTGTACTATAAACTCTGACTCTTTAGTAACTGTTTAGTTTGTAATAACTAGCCAGCTTTCGTTATTTCTTTGCCTGTCTAGTTGATACATATTCTTATTCAAGGTAAAGGAGGGGCTATTCCTATGTTGCAGGGGGCTTTCAAGGGTACTTCTTTCAAGTTTCTCTAGGAATTCTTTTATAGACATGTTTTGTACTTTGATTCCCTCTAAGAAAGCAGTGAGATCATCTCCTGATTTCCTAGAGTTTTCTATCTTATCTTGGGTGTTTTTCCAATGATCTGTTATTGATTAAGCTTGAATTCTCAGATTGTTCTGGTTGTTTCTCTGTACCTATATTCCCTGACGTTTCTAGTATGATATCATTATTCTGTTCATTGAGCCGGGAAAGGTCTAGGCACACTATCTGAATCACTGCCGGGGTATTCATAATGGTTAAAGCAAAAAGGGTCATGATCTCCAAAGCAAGCACAATCACAATAGGTATTGCAGGGCCTTCCATGCCACGTCCACCAGGTTGGAAACTGCTTCCTTGAAGTCTTACACCCCCTCTCAGGACCTTGTCACGGAGAGAGGGATCCAACAGTGGACGCGGCAGTGGACGTGGCAAAAAAGTTTTCAACTTTCAGCAGTGGTAAACTACACCTAGCAAATTTACTGTCCTCACTATTGTTAAAGTTTACTGAGTGGATCGGATACTCTTTGAAAAGGTGGTGACTTGATATAAAGGCACTGTGTGAGTAATTCATCGACCGAGCCACAAACACAGAAATGTGATATATTCCTTTGTGCAAGTGTGTGTCCAAATAGTAAATGAGCTTTGTGGAATCTGAGTCAACCACCTGCCTGCCTGAGGTGGCGTCCGAAGGAAGAGTGGTCTTCTGATAACACGCAGGAGTTAGGGTTCTGAGCGGTGGGGGGGCAGGGGGACTCTTCTGGGGAAAGAGGTGTGTGTGCCTGAGTAAAAAACATGCCCCTGGTTCTGGAAACAGAATGGGCACGGGGGTCCACGTCCTGACCCCTCCGGCCTGGGGGCAGCGGCTGAGCCCGCTGCCCTGCAGGTCGGTTTTGGTTTGGTTTGGTTTCCCTGTGTGTGGCGAGCAGGGCTCCCACCCACTTCCCCAAAGGGGCAGGTTGGGTAGGATGGCGGTGGGCGGTTTGGGGGAGCCCCAGCGTCTGGTCTCAGGGGGCCCGGGCAGCGCGTATCTTGTCCTGGTGCGTGAGGAGACACAGGATCGCTGTCTCCCCCGGCGAGGTTTGTCTCCCACACAAAGGAGCGAGCACCGCCTTTCCCCGCCGTGCTGCCAGCTGGACACCGAGAGCTGAAACAGGAGCCCCCACCCAGTGCACATATGGTCTCCTTCCGGGTGCCCAGGCCCAGGCCCAGGCCGGTGAGGCGCGCAGGGGTGGGGGGCTTCTGCCCGGGTGCAGCGGCGATGGTCAGACTGGCAGGAGAGGCTGAGCAAGAAGGTTTTTTTTGCCTTGTCCTTTCTCCCTGGCGCTTTCCTGTTCCATCTCTGCTTGGCCAGGCAGGTGCTGCTGGCAGGAAAGTTCAGGGCCCACGGGGTAACCTTTTCTTTATCTGTCTCTCTGGTGGTCACCTGCGTGTTTGTCCTGGGCATGCAGGCTGCCACAGCTCCCTGGAGATCCTGCCGGCCAGTTCTGCGGTGGAGGGGGCTGCCAGTGTGGTCCCGGGACGATTTTGCCCGTGGCTGTACCGTTGCTTGAGACCAGAAACCAGGTCATCCGCGGCATTTAATGCCGATTAGTGTGGCCGAGGCTGTAAGCCCCGTGTGGGGGAGGGGTGAGAGTCCAGTGGCCCGGCTGCCCCTGTGGCTCAGGCACTGTCCCATTTTTGCTCCTTTAGAGGCGAGTCAGCGTACATCCAGCTCTTCTATAGGATGTACAGACGTCAAATGTCTTGGGGGAAAGGTTCTTTTCAACAGCATCTCACAAACTGTGTTGTACAGCTTGTTGTGAGAATATCCATCTTCTGATTTTTGTACGGTGACTTTAATTGTGTGTACAGTGATACCTCACCAGGATTCTGAGGCCCTTTTTCGGGGGGGTGGGGGAATCTTACTTCTGAACCAGCAGCGTGGCAGGAAGTTTTTCCAGGGCCACATTACCTAGAGGGACGATTCGGATCATTGCCTACGTCTTTGCTGCCCGTCTTCAAGGCCTTTCGGGACTGAGTGCGTCCACTCGGTTTGCATTCAGGAGCTGACAAGCACGGCTGTGGAGGAGGAGGTTCCTGGCAGGAGCTGTGGGGTCAGTTGCATGGAGTGGCCGGTGATGCACCGGAAGGAAGGAGAGGCCAGAGCTGGCGACAGTGCCTGTCCGTTCTAGGACTGTGTGCCTTAATTAACAACATGCCTGGGATCCTGCTGTCACTCGGTTGCAGGGAATTGTGCCCCCAGCAGGGGCTGCGTCCCCCACCCCCGATGTTCCAAAAGCAGCTCGGTGCCTGGATGCGGCTGGAGGACACAGGAGGCTGGGCTGTGGGCAGGTCTTGTCTTCCCCTCACCCCCCACCCTGTGTGTGGACTCTTCCCGGGGGCAGAAACTGTGTGTGTTCTGAAGGAAGGTTCCCATCTTCGTGGGGGTGCTGGTGGGACCTGGCAGAGGTGGGCACTTGGGGTCTGCATGTCCCCCCCACACACACCATGCGCCACAGTGGGGGAGGGGATCTGAGACCATTTATTCAAGTTTCAGGGGACCGTTTGCATTTTGAGAAGTTTGGAAATTATTGTGAGTTGCTCTTGTGCCTGTGTTCTTGTTAAAACAGAGTATAAAGCTGGAGGTTTATGCTGGGCAGACATCCTGACTTGTTGGGGCTGTTTTCCATGATTTCTTTTTTTAATTGAGTTATAATCAATGTCTATTAGTTTCAGGGGTACAGCGTAATGACTGGATATATATACATATTGTGAAATGATCCCAGTGAGTCTCGTTAACAGCCGTCTCCACACAGAGTTGTACATAGTTTTCTTGGGCGGTGAGAACGGTGTAGCTTGTATTAAAGTCAGGAGGGGGAGGAAAACCATGCAGATCAGAAATGTTTTATTTTGGGAAGACTTGCTTGTGTTGATATTTAGAGTTCGTGTACGGCATAAACACTTAATCCGATGAATCTCTAATTGTGTGTGATGTTTCATATTCTAAGTCAAGTCCAGACAGGTCAAAAGATGTTTTTCCCAGCAAGGCAGGCAAGTGGTGTTTGTAAAATTTCCTTTGAAAACACTGCTGGCTTGTAACCTATTAAGACATGCACAAAATGTTTCAGTTATTTTTGTTCCTGTGTTGTTACAAATAGATAAGACTCCCAGCCCTGCCGCTAATCCTTAGGGCTACTTGTAATTAGTTACCTCCCTAACCTCCCGAGTTTTTTTTTTGTGCAGACACTACTCTGTTGAAACTGGCCTGAAAGGAAGTGTGTGGGTGCCCTTGTGCACATTTAGGGGCGGTGTGGATAAAGCCTTTTTAGCGCCGCTGGTGCTGGCGAAGATAGTCTTTGCTTCTTTTTCCTTCCCAGGAACGGGTTTCTCCATGGAAATAAGATTCCAACTGCTGCTGGCCCTGGCGTTGGTTTAAAATGCAGCGTGCATGCTTCATGTCCGTTGCAGCCCCTGCGGTCCTTTGGGAATGTGTACCTTTCTTTAATTGCCCTCTGGTGTAGAGGCAGGCACCGCTCGACCCTCATCCGGTAGGACTGTGGGTTTTATCCAGTGTGGTCACACCATCCGCCGCATCGCCCTGGCTGAGCACTCAGCGGGGAAGAACTCTGTGCCTGAGAGAGTTCTCCAAAAGGCTGCCAGGGGCTGGGAATTTTCTTCGGGTAAATATGTGTAATCATCCATACCGTGTGCTCTGCCCTGTGTTTCTGCGTGCAAGCCACGGATGTTAGAAGCATGGTCAGCAGGCCGTGAAGCTCTCGCCGTGGGGCCCTGCACCCTGGGGACGGCCACGTTCTTTCACGGCTGAGCCAGCTTTGAGACCCAGGGTGGACGCATGTCAGCCATCCCAGAGACTGTGCACGCAAGGGAGTGTGGGGGAGGGACAGAGAGGAGGGGCTTCTCAGGCCTGAGCTTGTGTCTGAATGGCCAGGGGTCTGGGCCAGCGCCCCCTACTGGGGACCTGGCCTGCAGCCCAGGCACATGCTCTGACTGGGAATCGAACCAGTGACTCCTTGGTTCTCCCTCAATCCACTGAGCTACACTGCGCAGGGCAAAACTATTTTATAGATTTGAAATAAATTTAGATTAGGATTGTTGTGCAGTTTGTGGGGAAGGTTTCCCAGGCAGTGTTGGGGACAGAAGGGTGTTCAACCTGCCCTCGTCATTTCTGCCGCATCAGCAGGGGCTGAGGGAAGGTGTAATGAGCGTGTGAGGACGCTAGGTGGCACCAGACCTCTCTGTCCCCAGACCGCAACACAGGGTGCTCACCGAGCAGTGGGCCAAATATGCAGGTGCTGGGTGGCCTTCTGCCTGTTCCCGCCGTCAGTCCAGCCCTTCCTGGCCTCAGGGTGCGGGCCCACACACCGGCAGGGACCTCCTGCAACCCCCCAGAAGTGTTCACAGCACTTGACAAAAGGACAGACAGTTGAGGAACGTCCCACTCTCCCCAGTGCCTGGGACACCCTCGCTCATATCTTGGAGGTGCGAGCTTGTCCACGGGGTTTTCTTTTATGCTTTTTTTAAAAAATAGCTCCATTAGTACTGTAACTGTTGGCTGTGACTTCTATGTTTTTAATCTAATTTTTATAAAATCCTTAGCTAAGGATATGCTTATTTAACTTAGAGACAGAAAGAGGGCGAGAGAGAAACATCGATCCATTGCCTCGCATACACACACCCTGAGCGGGGATCGAACCTGCCACCTTTTGGTGCATGGGACGATGCTCCAGCTGCCCGAGCCGCCCGGCCAGGACAACCGTGTCTTCTTGAAACAGACACACGGACCTGCGTGTTGGCTTTCTAGAAGGAGGAGAACACCTACCCCGGCGGTGGTGCCCGGTGGACCCCAACCCTAGCCATGTGGAAGGCATTTTTCCTCCCACGCCGGCCTTTTCTCTGCCGCCTGTTTCAATCAGCTGGGCCGATGCCCTTCAGGAACTAACCCTGCAGGAAGATGGAGGAGGCCGCGGAGGTCATAGTGCAGAGGCCGCGCTCTGGGCCGGCCGTGCAGGCGGCCAGGACCTTCCTGACCAGGATCCTGAGGCAGGCCATGAGCTATGGTCTTGGTGCTGCCGCCCCGGGCTTTGTCCATCTGTTCTGTGCTTCTGTTCCCGGGAAACTGCGATAAAGCCGGTGTATTCCATGAGCTGCCAGGCAGGTGGGCTTCCTCGTGAATGACCAGAGGTGTCAGGTGGTTTATGTGTGAAGGTGCTTTTGTGGTTCTTCCTTTAATAGTCTTCACTCTTGCCTGCGTTTGCCTGCTTGGGAGGAGGCTTGGTCTTTGACGGGGACCCGAAGAGGCTCCTGTGTCTGGCTGTGTGGCAGCCACTGCAAGGCTTCTACTGTCCTCAGCTGATGGCCTTCAAGTGCCAGAGGTGCCCGGAGGCTCTGTTACGCTTCCACCGCAGCTGCAGGGATTTCCACCTGGACGTACCTGCCACACCTGGGCAGGTGTGGCTAGAAAGCCACACCTGGGCAGGTGTAGCAGACCACCCAGGGGATGGTAGGGACTGGGGAGTGAAGGGAGGGGGAGGCTTGTACCAGGTTCGGCAGCCCTGCGCTGCCCCTGTTGAACGAGGGCATCGTGAGCCCCACAGCAGGGACCTGTGGTTCACATCCCAGACACCCCGAGAGGGTTGGAGGTGTAGATGTCTCCTCGTCTGAGGTAGCTACAACGTGGCCACATTTACTCAAGTGAGGAAGTAAATAGAAGCAATCTAAACAGAGAGCCGGCTGAGCTGGGGATTCCTTGTGCTTTTCTCCAGCCCTGGTGCTTTGTTCCCAAGGAGGGTGAAGCCCTGTGCAAAGCTCTGTGCAAAGCTAAGCCCAAAGCCGAGGTGCAAAGCGTTGCTGAAACAGGAAGGCTGGCAGGTTCTGTTTGTGGGGGAGGGACGGGCAAGGTTTTTTTACTTAGCTAGAGTACATTGGGAGAAGGAAGGCTGGCTCCCCTTTTGGGGCCTGTGATCGGCGCTCTGCACTGGGGTCAGAGAGGTTTGAACACAGCGTCCGAGGCCTGGGACGGGCAGAAGCACCTGAAGGAGCCGGGGCTTCTCTCCACACTCGGCAGCGCGGAGCCGTCCTGGGTGGGGGTGGCGTCCGAGTCGTCTGCCTTCTTTTTCAGGAGGAACGAGCTGAGCTGGCGGCCTCACTCCTGGCACGCCACCAAGTTCTCCGACGGCCACGGCGAGGCGTCCGCCTGTCCGCTGTCCTCCGCTGGCGCCTGCCCCTCTTGGCACGGCCGACACCACGCCAGGTAGGCCGGCCCTTCCGGTTAGCACTGGCAGTTGCGCCCGTGTCCTCACTAGTGCCCTGCCAGAAGGGTGACAGTAACAGCAGTAGTGTGGCTGTTACGTGGGCACACACGTGAATCTGTGCGCTGGATTGTGTCTCTACGTGTGCGTCTATGGGTATGCATGGCAGGACGTGAGCACACTGCATTTTATTCATACATGTGAGTGTGCACACGAGGGCTCACACTCATCTACACGTGTGCATGTACATGTGTACCTGTGTGTCCATGTGTGTGAGCGCGTGTGTCCTTATATGTGAGCTTGTGCCCGCCTGTGTGTGTGGGAGCTCCCATATGCAGGTTGGGTCAGGTTTTGGAGGATAGGGCTAGTCTGCCACAGCATGGAAATGTGCTGTGGGAAGTGTTCCCCGTCCCTGCCAAACACGGCACGGGCTCTTCCAGGTGACAGGGGGCGATGGTGAGGCCCCCCCCCCCCCCGGCAGGTTTGGAAAACCGCCGACTCTCCGCCGAGCAGTAAAGCCTCAGTGAAAAGCCCGCCTTTTCATTGGTGATGGAGCTGACGTCTTATTCTGGGATCTCCGTGAAGCCCACATTGGCTGGTTCCTTCTTGATGGGACACGCAGGTGTGTGGCCACACCTGTGTGCGGGTGGTGCTTCAAGGTTGTTTCTGTGTCCTTGGCCACAGGGTGTCACGGAAAAGTCAGCTCAGGACTGTTGGTGTGCGGGGCAGAGGACAGGCTGCATTTCTGACAGGGGCCCCTGGTCTGTGCACACAGTTTCCTGTCTCATCGTGGTCCTTTGCAACCTAAGGTGGCCATGGGGGCTGCTTGTTTGTTTTTAAGATTTTATTTATTTTATTTTTGGAAAGGGGGAAGGGAGGGAGAAAGGGTGAGAAATATCAGTGCGTGGTTGCCTCTCATGCGCCCTCTACTGGGGAACTGGCTTGCCACCCAGGCCCGTGCCCTGACTGGGAATGGAGCCTGCGGCCCTTGGCTTGGCAGGCCCTGCTCCATGCACTGAGCTACACCAGCCAGGGCTGCCTGTTCTTCATTTTAACCTCGAAGCAGGAATGTTGTCGCTCTGCTGAGCGTGACTGAAACCAGTTCACCAGCCTCTGGTGCCTACGGTGCAACCCCTGAAACCCTGTGCTTCTTCTCGCCCCCAGCTCGTCCTCCCAGGACCTGTCGGGTGCATGGGAGCCCACGAGCCTGCAGCGCACCTCGGGCCACTCCAGCTCCCTGGGCAGCGTGGACAGCCTGGACCAGCCCTCACAGCCCTACGCCTCCGGCCGCCTCTCGGCAGCCAAGTCCAACAGCAGCATCGACCACCTGGGCGGCCGGAGCAAGCGGGACTCGGCCTACGGCTCCTTCTCCACCAGCTGCAGCACGCCCGACCACACCTTGCCCAAGGCGGACGCCTCCTCCACGGAGAACATCCTCTGCGCGGTGGGGGTGTGGGAGGCCCCCCGGCCGGCCGGCGGCCGCCAGGACACTCCTGGCCTGGAGTGTGGGCTCGGGCCCTGGGCGCCCAGGGTGGCTCGTGACAGCAGCAGGAGCCCCAGGCCCCAGGACGGGCCGGAGCCCAAGCTGCCTGCGTCGGGGAGGGCCAGCCTCGGGCCCGTCTGGTATGTTCCAGAGAAGAAGAAGGCCCCCGCTTCCCCGCCGCCGCCCCCACCCCCGCTGCGCAGCGATAGCTTCGCGGCCACCAAGAGCCACGAGAAGGCCCAGGGCCCTGCGTTCGCAGAGGCCGCCGCCGCCCAGCACTGGGCGGGTCTGGCGCGGGCTCAGCCCCGCGGCGACTGGGGAGCAGAGCCCGCTGAGGCCCAGCGCTGGCCCGCACGCCCCGGAGATGGCCGGCGGCGACCGGGCAGCTCCGGCTGTGCAGCCGACGCGCACCTAGACTGCGGGGGGCGGTCCGCCAGCCCCGGGGCCGCGGGCCGGCTGCAGGCTTCTCTGTCCAGCACCGACGTGCGCTTCCCGCCGACCCCCTACGGCTGCCAGCACCTGCGCCAGTCCAGCGACCAGAGTCCCTTCTCGCACGAGGGCCCCGGGGCCACCACGGCGCAGGGAGGGCAGCTGCGCGGGGTCCTTGCCGCGGCGCTTCGGCCGGAGGTTCCCGCCCAGCGCTTTCTGGAAGACCAGCCCTCCCAGGCCAGGTGGCCGCATGCTGCTGACCGGAAGGGGGACAGCGGTGGGCAGAGCCACCAGCGCGCCATCACTGCAAGACAGGGCCTTCCGGGGGGCCCTCAGCTGTCGCAGCTCCGGGAGGGCTATTGGCGTTGCGGGTCGCCTCTGGGTGCCCTGGACGGTCCCGCCACGCAGCCGGCGGGCCAGAAGCCCCGCGGTCACTTCCCACAGCACGAGGGTGCGCAGGAGAGGGCTGACGCAGGGGACAGAGCGGCGGGCGGCTGCTCCTCGGGGATGGAGGGGCCCCCGGGGGCCAGGCACGGCGACCGCACCAGCCGGAAGCAAGTGGCGGACGCCTTCCAGTGGGCCGACGGGGACAGCGGCAAGATCTCCGCTCACAAGACACCCCTGCTGCACTCGCTGACCCAGGAGGGCCGGGAAGGGGGCCCCGAGAGGCCGCCACCCTTCGACGCCCAGGTGGGCAAGCCCACGCGGAGGAGCGACCGGTTCGCCACCACGCTGCGCAACGAGATCCAGCAGCGGCGAGCGAAGCTGCAGAAGAGCAAGAGCACCGTGGCGCTGGCTGGGCCCAACGGCGAGGCCGAGGGCGAGGCTGGCGGCTGGCGCGGGGCCGCCGCCCCAGGACCCGCTTTCCTGGGCACCTATAAGGACCACCTGAAGGAGGCACAGGCCCGCGTCCTCCGGGCCACGTCGTTTAAGCGCCGCGACTTGGACCCCAGCCCCGCGGAGCCGTACGCGGGGTCCCCGGAACCCAGGGCCGGGAGCCACCACCGCCCGGAGCCCACCGCGGGGCCCCGCGCCTGGGAGGCGGGCCCGGCCCGGCCGCCCTCCTGCGCAGGTGGCGCGCCCCACGTGGCCCGCATCGGGGGCCGCAGGCGGTTCTCGGCGGAGCAGAAGCTGAAGTCGTACTCCGAGCCCGAGAAGATGAATGAGGTGGGGCTCTCCGGGGGTCGCCGCCCCCGCCCGCCCCCCGAGGACGCCGTGGGCACCTTCGCAGACAGGTGGAAGTTTTTCGAGGAAACCAGCAGGCCACTGGCGCAGAGGGCCTGCCCGAGGCAGGTGCTCCCCGCGGGCCCGCGGGAGAGGCTGGACAGGCCGTGGGCCACCGCCCACGGGGACCAGGGCCCCGAGCTCCGGCCCCAGGAGAGGTCCCGCACCACCTCCTTCGGAGAAGGCGCTGGCGGCGCCAGGAAGGCGGCGACAGCGGCAGCGCCGCAGCGGCTGGGAACCTTTGCCGAGTACCAGGCCTGCTGGAGGATGCAGGGGAGAGGCCCGGACGCCAGGGCCTCGGGCCGGTACCACTCGGCCGACGACATCCTGGATGTGAGCCTGGGCCCGCGCGAGCGCCTGCAGCACTTGCACGAGCGCTCGCGGTCCTCGCCGTCCACAGAGCTCTACACACAGGTGGGCCTCGCTGTTTTCTCATCCTCCCCGAGCACGTGTATTGATTGATTTTAGAGCGAGGAAAGCGGAGACGGAGAGACATTGATTGGTTGCCTCCCGTATGCGCCCCAGTATGCGCCCCAAGCGGGGAGCAAATCTAGTCTTTTCGGTGCGAGCACAATGCTCCAACCCACTGAGCCGCCCGGCCAGGGCCCTGATAGTTTAAAGGGCCCTCCTTTTTCTTTGAGTCCCCAGTCCTGTTGCTGTCATCCCTGGGTTCCCCTGTCCCCCCCCCCCCCCCCCCTTAGCTGGTCCCTGCGTTAACAGGCAGCAAAGACCTGGTAGGAAACTGTGAAAGATGGTGAGTTGTCCTCTGAAATGAAAAGCGGTGTCTTAGGTAAACAGGGAAAAGGAACGACAGCTGCTTTTCGAACATGGGTATCATTGAATATCTTTAGTATCTGTTCTTTTTAGTGCTCTTTTTAAGTTTTTTGCAAGCATTTTAAAAGATGGGTCTGGGGCAAAGGTGATGAAAGAGCCCTGCATTGCACTGTTTTTAAGGTGAGAGTGTGGGCGGTCAAACGTGACCGGAAGCTTCCGCACAAGTTCCATCTTTGTGTCCGAGCTTCCTTGTGGATGGCCTCCCTCTCTCTCCTCCTGCGTTTTGGGGCCCCCAAACCTGCCCGTCGGTGTGTCTGAGCGGTTTGCTGCGGCGGCACCCGGGGCAGTCTCTCGAGAAGAACCGGCAGCAGAGTTATCACAGAGCAGTCAGGGTGTGGGTGCGAGGGAGGGAGGCCCGGGTCTGTGGAGTCCGGGCTCTGGGAGGTCCCTGGGCTTGAGCAGGGAGTGTGGTGTTCTCCCCTGTGGGTGCCCTGGCCTGTGGCCCGTGGCCTGTGCAGAGTGACCACCGAGAATTCCTGGCTCGCTCAGTCAAGGCACGGAAATCCCAGCTTTGGCAGGTCAGTGGCTCAAGGCTCTGCTGCAGAGCATTGTCCGACGCAGCTAGGTTGCATTGCACTGTGCTTGGAGGACTGTGTTTTTTTCTTGTTGTTTTTGTTTTGGGAGCCAGTCGTGTCCCCCCCGGCGTTCCAGGCCTCACGGTGTGGACGCGGGGTCTGGCTGGGCCGTCCTGGGGCAGCAGTTTGCGGAGCTGAGGTCCCAGCCCTGTGGCCGAGTGCCACTGCCAGGCGGCAGGCTGCGTCATTGCCCCTGTGGTGCCGGCTCTCCCGAGAGCCCACAATGACGGGGTTCGTAATAACAGATGTCTTGAAGGAGGCAGCCTGGTGACGCGCGTGTCCCTGTGCTGCCCTTGGCAGGAAGCTCCCGTCGAGCCGCGGCGACAAGCAGAGGACTCTGGGGAGCACACAGAACTGGTCTCCGCAGTCCAGGACGAGGAGCCGTGTCCGGCCCCAAGGTAAGCGCCTGACTTCGGGTTTGGGGTGAGCAAGACAGCCTCTGGGGTTGGCTGTCTTTCTGGGGGTAGTTGCTTGGTTCACGGGGTTGGGCTTGTGGTTTTGGCGCAACCCGAAGGGTTTGCTAACGGCGTTCCAGTGTCCCCGGGTGCCCCCCCACCCCCAGCCTCCACCCCGCTTCTTGGCCAGAGCCACAGCCCCACATGCCACCTGGGGAGGGGCCCAGACGGCCGTGGACACGTCCAGTGCCACTGTGGTATTTTTCAGTTCTGAAAATGGCTGCTGCGTGTTCTGTCCAGTGAGGTTCTGTGTGTCGGCAGGAGAAACTCAGTGTTGTGCCCTTGAATGGAAGGCTTCCTCCGGGATGCTGATGAAAGGGTGCTTCTGGGACCTCGCTCGCAGCTGGGTGGCCGGGGCGCAGGCTGCGAATCCGAGTGGTCTCCAGGGGTTGTCAGTGAGAAAGGAATGGGGCGGGTCTCTCTAAAGGGGGCGTGGTTCCTGGGGGCGGGTCTCTATAAAGGGGGCGTGGTTCCTGGGGCGGGTCTCTCTAAAGGGGGCGTGGTTCCTGAGGGCGGGTCTCTCTAAAGGGGGCGTGGTTCCTGGGGCGGGTCTCTCTAAAGGGGGCGTGGTTCCTGAGTCCACCAGAGGTCAAGTCTGCTGGGTCCCCAAGGAAAGCTCAGAGCCTCTGGGAGGATGTGGGTGGCGGCCGGAGTGACAGTTTGGGACACAGTTGTAAAATGTTGCAGGTGTAGCTGTTTCCGTGTTGCCAGCAAGGAGTTCCCATTAATAAGTACACGGTGTCATCTTGCCCTTCACAGCAGAGGCAGGCGGAGGAGAAAGGCATAGGTCCCCGGACACAGCTGGGGCATGACCCTATGGAACAAGCCTGATCGAGGGCTGGGAATAAAGCCCCTGGACCATAGGCTTGCCGCGTGCCGAGTTTTCTCGGACCTAGGGAACCTCTGCTGATGGGCGCCATGTTCCCTGTAGACACTACCCTCAGAGTTCCAGCTTCCCTCGCAGAAGGAACTCAGCGAAATGTTTGCTTGTGAGAGCCGGATGGCATGGGGTTGCTTTTCACTTACCTGGAAACTGAGAGCTGTGAGCCACCCACGGGGGGATTGGTGTTTTGGTGCCTCTGCAGACCCGGGGGTGGTGGTCTTTGGGAATCAAGGGACCGAGCACTCTGCACGGCTAAACCGGAGAAGCCCCAGTAAGACAAAAAGGCCGGTGCATTATACACCTACAGAGTGCGCGGAGCACAATTACAGCTTTATTCCTGCGGATGCCAAACGCGTCAGAGCTGAGCGCCAGCTGGACTTTCTTCAGAGCCCACCCCCAGCCCCTGCTGGAAGGGCGCACCGTGGGTGCGGCTGTGGCTTTGGGTGCAGCCTCTCGGCGTCCTGTGCCCATGGCACGGGCTTTTCTTCTGTCCCCAAGTCATGAGTGTGCTGCTTGGAGTTGAGCTCTGTGCTGTGAGTGGCTCTATCCATAGTGAAGGGGTCAGCAGGAAGGGGGAGGGGCCGCACACTCTGTGAGTCACGGCCGGGTCTTCCGGCAGACCGCATAATCGCTCAGCAGAAATGAGTTCCAGGAGCTTCCTGCTGTGCAGCTGCAGACCTAGTACTTTGCAGAATCGCGGGCGCCTTTAAAGCGTGGCAAGCCGCAGGGAAATGCTAGGGCAGGAATATGGAAAAGTGGTTTTCCTGCTTATTCCAGAAAATGTTTCTTTCCTGAAGTGTTGGCAAGGAATAGTGCCCTGGAAACATGACGTCTGATGGTAAAAGAAATGAAAATTCAGGCAAGGGACATCCTCCCTCCAAAAAAGAAGTGTAAGTGCAAAGATTTCAAGATGCGCGAAAATTTCACATGGGTTTAAAGTCATGTAAACAAGCCCTGGCTGCTGTGGCTCCGTGGACTGAGTGCCAGCCTGGGAACCAAAGGGTCGCTGGTTCAATTCCCAGTCAGGGCACATGCCTGGGTTGTGGACCAGGTCTCCAGTAGGGGGCACTCAGGAGGCAACCACACATTTTTGTTTCCCTCCCTCTCTTTCTCCCCCCCCTTTGTCTAAAAATAAATAATATAATAAAATATTTTAAAAAACAAAGTAATGCAAACAAGTCTGTATAAAGAATATAAATTGCAAATCTGCTACGCAGTGCATAATCATAAAAACGTTTTTGTTGTCCTATTTTGGGATGACAGAAGAAGGGGAATAAAAAGAAAAATAAACAAATGGGACCACATCAAATTAAAAAGCTTCTGCAGGACTAGAGAAACCAACATCGGAATGAAAAGAGAACTGACCATGTCGGAGAAGATACTTGCCAGTGATACCTCGGACAGGGCCTCACTCTCCAAAATATAAAAACAACTCAGAGGACTCCATACCAGGAAGGCAAACAACCCAGTTAAAAAATGGGCAAAGGACCTGAACAGACACTTCTCCAAGGAGGACATACCGAGGACCCAGAGACCTATGAAAGGATGCTCAGTATCGCCAGCCACCAGAGGTGCAAATTAAAACCACAATGAGAGACCAGTTCACGCGAGTCAGAAGGGCCATCACACCCGTGGATGGGTGGGCGGGCAGAAAGAGGGATCCATTGCTGCAGGGAGGGACCCCAGCCTGAGGTTCCTTGAGTGAGTCCTTGTGGAGGGTGGTGAACATGATTCCCTGTCGGTGCACTTTGGACGCTGAAGTCCCACGTAGGTTGTAGAATACATGACCGGAAGTGAGGCGGGCTGCCCTGGTCCTTCTGGGCTCATGTAGCATTTAGAGTCAAGACACAACATCTCAAAATACAGGTCGGGGGGAGAAGCATGGGTGTGTTTTCTGGTATGGAGTCTAAACTCTGTAGGAAAGCCGAGCAGTCAGTCCCACGTTTGGTCATCGCTGGCTGCTCCGCTCTGAGCATCTGGGGTGAGGATTGTGTTCCAGGAGGTGTCGGAGCTGGAGCTGGAGCTAAAGCCGGAGCCGGAGCCAGAGCCAAAAGGGGACCTGGGGGTGGAGCTGCAGGCCCTGGCAGGTCCCCTCTTCTTCACCACCTTGCAGCCACTTGCACCCCACCTGTGTGAGGGGCCGGTGCTGAGCCGCAGCGATATATTCCACTGGGTTAGATGGAAGAGGCGGTCGAGAATGGCCACCCATCCCGAGTCTCAATGACAGCCACTGAATTGAATCTGGATGAAATCAAGGTCTTCAGGGAAGATGTGCTTTCATACTTATGTATTTACTTACATATTTTTAATTACAAGTTGTATTTATTTATTTTTAGAGAGAGGAGAAAGGAGAGGGAGAGAAACATCAGTGTGTGGTTGCCTCTTGCACGCCCCCTACTGGCGGGCGACCCTTTGGTTTGGAGGCCGGTGCTCAATCCACTGAGCCCCCCTACCCAGGTCTGCTTTCAGATCTATAAGCAAGCTACAGCCCACCTGAGGGTCACTTTCCCGTGTGGTTTTTTTTTGCCTGAGAGGTAACTTGTGGACAGGGCTGAGGGCCGAGAGTGGTGATTTCGGGGGAAGACAGGCAGGTTTCCCCTCCAGGCTCCGCCTCGTGTGTGGCTTTGAGGAGGGCGTGAACGTCTCCGGGCCTTCAATTACAGGAGGGGCCATGGAAGGCTTCCATTCTGAACTGCTCGGCTGGGTAATTAGGAAGCAGGGGTAACAGGGCGAAACTCAGCCTTCGAGGACGGGCAGGGCTGAGCCCCCCCGCCAGGCCTGGCTTCCTGCCATCGCAGCCTGTGTGCAGAGAGGGCTTGCAGGTGGAACCCTGTCATCTGAGAGGTGAGAAATAGCAGCCTATGGAAAAGCTCGGTACCCCGGGTCTGCTGCCTTGTGTTTTATGTGTGTTCATACATGTTAATTTAGACAGGTACGTAAGCTTGCATGCACGTGTTCCTTAAAATTCTTAAAAGATTGTTTTTAGAGAGAGGGGAAGGGAGGGAGAAAGAGGAAGAGAAACATGCATGTGTGGTTGCCTGCCTCTCATGCGTCCCCTACTGGGGATTAGTCCCACAACCCAGGCATGTGCCCTGACTGGGAATCGAACCGGCGACCCTTTGCTTCACAGGCTGGTGCTCAGTCCCCTGAGCCACACCAGCCAGGACTTAAAGTCGATTTTTTTAGAAAGAGAGAGAAACACTGTGCCCTGACCGGGATTGAACCCACAAGCTGGGCACATCAGAGCGGTGCTCTGAGCTGCTGGGCAGGTTGCTGGCCTCATTCCGAGTCTTCACTGGTAGCTGTGTTTCCTCCTCGCGCCTCCACCCACGTGGCTTCAGGAAGCGCAGAGTCCGGGCCGGCGGCCTGCAGGTTTTGCCGACTTGCTGGTGTGGCCCTGTGGCTTCACATTATTTGGGAGGCAGCTCTTCAAGGCTGCGGTGGGAGGGTTATGGGGCTCGGGGTTGGGCCGGGGCTGCTCTCTTTGTGAGTTGGGTCGACCTCCCTGGCTTGTTCTGAGGCGATAACCACTCTGCTCGTGTCCCCTCTTGTCCATTGACGGCTCTGCTCCGAGCCTTGTGGGTGCATCTGGGCCGACCTTGCACGTGAAGGTGTCCTGTGGTGCTTCTGCATTTGTCCAGAACTGCGTCCGGGCACCCCGGCACCCGGCACTTCTGGGTCCTTCCAGCCACGCTTCCTTCTCTCTGCCGGGGTTCCGACCATCGTCCTGTATTTTAGTGCCGAGGCAGGCAAGGCAGCGGCCACTCCCGCGGCCATGCAGATTTCAGCGGGCACTGTCGTGTTCTCATGGGGCGGCGACAAGACTGAGCCTCAGCCCCAAAGCAGGCGTTCGGGTTTCCTCATACACCCATGGCATTTGGGGCCTGCTCGCCTTGCAGGGTTGGTATTTTGGTGAACTGCACGACGTGTGTGTGTGTGTGGGGGGGGGTGTCCCTTGGTCAGTGGTGATAACGTCCTTGTTCCTGGTGGCAGGAGAGAGGGAGGCCGGGCTGTCTCATGTAGACCAAGCTCTTGCTCAAGACAAGAGACGAGACGTCTG